TTCATTATGAATACTCTGCCTAAACACCCTATCAAAAATGTGTAAAGATATCTTTTATGTGAGACTAAGTAGTGCCAAGGAAAGACCTACAATAGTTACGCTCTTTCTCAACAAATATTTCAATGTTAGGTGTAGTTTCTCTCAGGAAGAAGCATGCCTCTTTATATAAAAATAAAAAATACATTCATATTTATCACTTTATCCTATAATAAAACTAACTATTAGTTTACTAGCTATATCACATAACATAGGATTTTAATAAAAGAAACTTTGCTGAATAACAACATCATTATTTAGAGGTGCAAATTTTCACTGTATCAATACATAATTGGAAAATTTGATATTGTGCTTTGTCCAAAACTGTATATATCAAAATATTTTCATTTGTTTCTTATTTATTTTCAGTGATGAATCTTGGATTACACATGATGGGTTTGAAACTATTGAACCTTTTTATTTGCCTAAGGTGAATATTGTGCACTTCTGTGCTTTCTGTTATATCTGATACTTATTATGTTCTAACGAGTATTGCTTGTGCAGTTTGAATACTAAAACAGAGTACCTACATACACTTTTATTAACAGATTTATAACATAACATTAAAGGGTAACAAGAAACCCTTTGGAATATATAGGCCATTCTATTTACTAAATTAAACTAAACAATAAAAAACTCAAAGCTAGCCCTTATCATTCAAATGTTTATCAAGCTTTCCCTTAAACTCCCCTAAATTAACTGTATCTACAGCATCTGAAGGCAACCTATTCCAGAAGCCAACCACACTGTTACAAAAACAAAGTTGACTTCTACCCCTCTAGCTCTTCATTTTTCAAGAGAGACCATGCAAGCTCAGAAATTATATCCTATCCATGCGTGACAACCATTATATCCCAGGTATCATTTTACTAGCCAGCCTCTGAACACAATACTCCAAAGATGGCCTAATTAATGACCTATACAATGACATTATTACCTCTTTTGACTTATAGTCAATGTTTCTGTAGATGCAACTTAAAATCCTATTCCCTTGTCACTAGCAACAGCACATTGCTTGGATGGCTTAAGATATTGATGAACCAGAACACCAAGATCTTTTTCTTACAAGACAGTACCTCACCTCCTCACACAGAATAGCTCTTGCGGGTTTTCAACTCCCCTCAGTCACTATTTAATCCAAACACTGTCTTTGAGAAGGGTAAGTACAATATCTTTTTTCATATCCCATTTTACTTTATAGGATCCCACTGAGTGGCTAGTATTACCTCCTAAGCTATACATATATCCCAAAATACACATTGGGTCAAATGTAACATACAGTGTTTATCCATTTGCCCTCACTCTACCAGTGCCTACTGTTGAGATGAGGTGTTATGCAAGACCGTTATAGATATTGCCCTGATATGAAAAAAATACTTATTTGCCCATCCCAGGGACTATCATGGAAAAAGCTGATACTAGGGAAGTGACTGCTTACTTCTTTGGCTTAGGTTTGCTGGCTTTTAAATATAGGGTTGCGTTGTCACCCATTGCACTGTCTTCAGTAAA